CCACACCCACACCCACCCACACCCACACCCACACCCCACCCACACCCACACCCACACCCTCACTATTAAATAGTGCTATATGTAATTTCACAATGTTTAGATCAGTTCAATATAAAGTTAGTCTATACAGAATTTACTTTTGCAGTTTTTCTGCAAAAGTAAATTCTGTCAAAATGGTAGTCTTTCTTTATACATTGTGTAGTTACAACTATCGCTGCTGTTAAAACTTTTATATTTAATATCAAAAGTCGCTCATTCACTTATATTATTTGCATATTTTAAGTTGGCATTTGAAATCTGTCAATGAAATTCAGTGTGGCTTCCTATGAAATTCTAAAAACCAGGATACTACTAGCAGAAAAAAATTCTGAGAAGGGGGATCAGGAAAATGCTAATTTTGTTCGCAAACTCCGAATACTAATTTTTTTCGATAAAATTCCATCATTTGGATCCAACATCACCCTCCATGAGTTTCATCTGGGTTCCATGCTCGAAAGTCGAGATTCAGCATACTGAAAAATCCTGGATACGTCACTGTGTTCCCCCTCCCTCCATCGGCACATTCCTGCATGTTTTCTTCCACTTGGGTTTACTTTCTTTTTCTAATTTTCATTATTCGACAAAAAAAAATCCTTTCTGAACAATATCAATTGTTCGATAGATTGGAGATCTCAAAGAACAAAGGTCAATAAGGAAGATGATAGAATAGAAAGAGAAAATGTATTCATGGAAATAGACTATGATTTATTCATGAGACAATTCTTTAATCTATATTTTTAAAATAAGATACTTAATAATGAAATGAACGACAAGAAAAATGAAAAAATGAGGAGATGATCTCGAAAAAAAGCTCATTAACGTTGAATCAACGTGATTGGAGGAAAAGATCTCGGTTTATTCTACATATAAATAAAAACTATTACAATTAGATGCATTTGCATTTGTAGGTCCAGTAGCAGAGCCTCAAATGACTAATCGTGCTTGGGAACATTATTTTTATTCAATGTCTTGGTTATCATATGGTCATTTTAAATTGTGGTTGGACTCAGCAAGGATTTTAAATGTTTCTAACGTGTCACTTCCAACATTTTGCTCGTGTAAATTTAATCTGAAGGAATATTCGTGTTCGTTCAACAGGTCCTATGATGGTCTGGGGAGTTCGAACAACTCTACAGATAATCGGAGAAAGAAATGGCAAAGAGCAACGAAGAAAGGTGAACTAGTAGCTGTCGAAAGACTGATTTTTCATACACCTTTTCTTATATATTTTCTATTAGAGGTAAATAAATATAAATTACTTATATTTCGTTATCATATTGTACTTTGTTTATTAGTAAACATATAAAGTAAGACACTATATTTCCATTTTCTCGTTTACATATCCAACCGCGATATTTTCCTTTAATTTTGTTGAGGATGTGGGTGTGTGTAAATTGAAAAACGAGACCCATACCCACACCCCACACACACCCACCCACACCCACACTCACACCCACGCCCCACACCCACACCCTCCCACACCCTAGATTTTTCTGCTTATTTTTTTTGTTTTGTTTAATTTATAGTTTAGGGAAAGAATCATTTTGAAAGTTGAATTTTTCAAATAGTTTTTTGTTCATGGAAAATAATCAAACTAATCGAAATGAACATGTGAAATTAGATGAATAACTGTCTGTTAGATTTAAGTTCGAACATACTTTAAGTTAAAATGACTTTTTCTAAGAAAATTTTGATAATTAAGATTAAAAAAATATTCTAAATCTGATATAATGATTTGATTCATGAAAAAACAAAACTGAACAAAAGACTTATATAATCTCGAATTTGTTTACTTGTTGATATTGTTGATTTAATGTTTGAAATTTTTGTTGAATTTGTTCAAATTTTTGAGATAATTCTTGATAAGCAATTTATTGTGCTTGTTGAAAATCATATAAATAATGTTGTTTATTTTCTAATTTCATACGAACTTTTCCTGTTTTTCAATATATTGTTCAGAAATAATTTTTAAAAAATGAAACATATTTCTTTCAAAATCTGAATGAGAAATAGAATTTGTTGCTGCTGTTGATAATGATCAAAGTGTTTTATTTGGTAATGATTGATCGCGAGAAAAAATTTTACGAATACGATGAATAAAATCAGATGATAAATTTGATTTATTAGTTTTATTATTTTCAGTTAAAGGTAAAGATTTAATTGATGTTGAATTCAATGTTGTAAGAGATAAAGAAGGAGGACGAATAAGAATTAATTCCTAAATTAAATAGGACAAGTTTAGAATTCAAAAAAAACTAATTAGATAAACCTTTTGTTGATTTATTTGTGTTTTAGTAATCATAGCTAACCATTGTCCTTTATTATTTGTTTGAATTAAACCTATTTGTTGAATTGAATCATTTGATTTAATTAAATGTTGAACATTTGTTGATGAAATTTTCTTTTGTTTTTCTTCAAGATCATCGATCCATAAAATTTCAATTGAAGAAATATTTGATGAAGAATCACAAACATAATAAGTATTTGAATTAAGTTCATCAATAATCATTAATTTTATTTTTGGATTATTTTCATTTATTGGTAAATTAATTGAATTAATTGTAAATAAATAATATTGATCAATTGATGGATTAAGAACAATACATTCATTTATTTGACATTATACCACATGTAAATAGAACTATTGGATATGGTGAACAAGATAAACATAATAGATTTGAATCACTATAATCAGCACCATAATTATCATATGTTGATGGAAGAATACAAATAGGACCAACAAATTCTGATGTCATTCGTTTTTCACTAAAGGAAAAAAAACAAGCATTACTTACATACATGTATTGGTTTCATGTCAGTTTTTCTTTTGATAATTATATTATCTTAGTAATTAATAATATTATATGAAAGCTAATCTTTCTAAACTATTTTATATCAACCTAGCACTTTTGATTTAACTCATATCTTGAGTGAACATCTTTTTTTTCGAAATATTATCAATAATTGAATCTTAATGTCGATAATATCAGAAAGAAATCAAACTCATTAATTATAATGACAATGTCACACTATGTTTAGAATTCATGTTAACAATAGTTTTTTATATCATACTAGTTAAATAAAAACAAAGTGAGTATCATGTCAAATGCCATTTTATGAAGATAGATTTTTCTTTCGAAATTTTTTTAGATTAAATAATGGGTACACCAGGTTGAATGGCCGCGTTTTTCATTCACTTAATACATTGTATTAAAAAAACAAAATATATCATAAGATGCAATGTGAAAAGCTCTACAATTTACACAGGACTGTTTTTTTTTCTAGCTGCACTTTTTGCTTTCAAAATAGTCAAATTTTAACTTTGCGAAAACGTTATTTTTTTCGTACAAGATAAAATCGTTTTTTCTTATTTCATCTTTTTAGATTTATTCTGTATAAATTCTAGAGCTTTTCACGCTGCATCTTGTGATATATTTTGTTTTTTTAATACAATATATCAAGTAAATGAAAATTGGAATACAAAACGCGACCATTGAACTTGGTGCACCCGTTATAATAGATATTAAATCTTTATAATATGTAAAAATAGGACGAATTCAGTTCTATGAATTAAAGAAATAGATTGAATGAAAAATTATTTCGAGAGTTCTGTTTTAAGACCATTGAAATATTCACTGACTATTTTTAATTATTCGATATGATTAAAAAAACGAACGAATAGTTCTAACGAGATACTCAGCAAAAAAAAATTATCTTAATCAATTCTATTCATTAAATTTTGATTATTTATTTTTTCGATGTAAGCAAAAAAGAACAATCTATTCGTGAATCAATGAGTTGAACATTGTTGTATATTAATCAAAGATATTTACTTATTTACTAATTGATTTTGATCAGTTTCCATAATAAAAATATCTCCATTAGTTTTCATAGCAAAAAGAACAATTAATCTTAAATCTTGTCTTCTTTTAACTAAATCTAATTTGACAATATCTGATGATTGACGAAGAGAAATTCTTTTCTTTGTTGTTCCACTATTTGTTTGTTCTTTTGCTGATGATGAATCAACATCAAATTTTTGAAGATATTCAATTCCATCAGGTTTTGATGGTCGAACTTTATAAAGATGACATTCAGATGATGATGGTTTCGAATAAAGAATAATCATGTGTATTGAAGATAACCAAATAAAATCGATTAAAGAATTATTTATTAATGTCGAATTTGATGGTAATGAAGGAATAACATTTACAGGACACAAACGACAACCTAATATCATTAAAATAAATAAATAAATAAATTTCATTTTTATTTTTCATACCTTTTGATGGTGAACTGTTTGGCTGTGGTAAATACACAAGATAAGCTGTTGTATCGTCAATGAGAGCGAGAATAGTTTCATCTGGATTTAAAATTAATCGTCGAATAGAAGATGTTGGAGATGAAGATAAATGTAAACAATCAAATTGTGGATCATTCGTATTGTTCAATTCAATTAATGAATGAACGACAAGACACTTATTTAATGAATCATAACCAAAAAGAGATGATTCTTCAAATGTGAATACATCAACACTTTGCAAGACTAGAGGAATACGAATTGAATTTGAGAAAGACATTTAATAGAATCTTTCCAATTTCAACTCATGAAAGAATATTTTATAAAATAAGTAAAATAAGGATAACATGGATAGAAAATAACTCGATTTTGATTAGATCAATAATATGTTTTAACAACAGATGCCGCTTCATTCCTGGTCAAATAATATTATTTATATGAAATTTTCATAGAAATTCTTTATTATTGACTATGAATGCAATGTAAAATGAAATATTTATTATCGAATTATTTTGAGCTTTTATTCTCAAGAAAACCGTCAATGAACACGTATTTTTTGAATGAGCACTATGAAACTTAATAAGAAATATATCACCGGTCCATAGCATAATAAAATTGAGAGCGATGAGATAATATTCTCTTTCATAATCAAACTATTTCGTATTTTATTATGATAAAAATTGACATACTGGAGGAGTAACGTTATCTATAGTCGTGGTATAAATGTTCACTACGCTGTTTTATCACTTCATTTGTGTCTACTTTGTGTTGAACAAGCTTCATATACTAAAGAACAAACGAGTAAGAAGAGTTAAGTTAGGAGAAAAAAAAGTGAATAGAAGTTCGACTGACTAAGTAATACTTATCGTTCATGTGGTTACAATGTCTAGTCTGGCATTCCACCGACAGCTCGTAGAAAAAGAGGAAAAAAGAGGAATTTCGTTGTGAGAGAAAAGAGGATTTTTAATAAAGAAAGAGGCGCATTTTTTTAGCTTGTAAAATGCGAACAAAGACTTTTGCAAGGCTCAATGGTTGACAAATTGCAGCATCGCTAATCTGAATTCAATACAGACTGAAAAAACCCGAAAGATGAAAGCGATTTTCAGTTGTTGACATTTGTTGCAATCACGCTTCTTCTATCCACTTCAGAAAAAAAGAACTACAAAAAAAGAAAAAAAACTGGATGTGATTCAAAGGTACTTCACTGTGATATCACTTTATCTTACTGCTTGTAGACAAAGAAATAGACATTTAAAAAAGTCACTCAATATCCAAAATCTGTTCAGTTTATAATATTACGAGAGTAGAAAGACCTAACAAAAAGCGAAAAAAGAAACAGTAGAGCGTGCATATTGATAAGACAAGGAAACGGATAAATTTGGCTTAAATCAAAAGTTGCAAAATGTCTTTCTC